ATCAAGGTTAAATGAGGTCATGTTGGGTGGGACCTGGATCCCGTAGGATTAACATCCTTACAAGAAGAGCTCGCCGAAACCGGTTTGGCTCCATGGATAGAGCGTCGGCCTGCGGACTGAAAGGTCCCAGGTTCGATTCCGGTCAAGGGCATGTACCTGAGTTGCGGGCACATCCCCAGTAGGAGATGTGCAGGAGGCAGCTGATCGATGTCTCTCTCCCATCGATGTTTCTAACTATCTATCTCTCTCCCTTCCTCTCTGTAAAAAATCAATAAAATATATATATATATATATTAAAAAAAAGAAGAGCTAGAGACCCCAGGAAAGCACACAAAGAAGAGAAGGGCCCACGTGATGTATGGGAGAAGGCCGCTGTTTACAGCGAAGGGAAAAGGCAGCCATTTACAAGCCACAAGAGCTCTGACCAGAAACTAACTCACTGGCCTTGACCTCAGACTCGCCGCTACTGGAACTCTGAGAAAATCATTGTCTGTTGCCAAAGCCCCCCAGCCTGTGGTGCTTGGTTATGGCACTTGAGCAGACCAAGAGAATGTTTTACCTGCTTGAATGGCTTTTTGTTCTTTGACAATATGGTCACCCATCTTACAGGCACTTGAATCTAGTCTTCAGGAACTGGGTTGTGAGAACTGCTATTTCTTCTCAGAAGCTATGTCTATATAAATACACATGTACTTTATGATTCCTAATAAGACCGAAGTTTAAAGTGTTCTAAGGGGACATGTGGCAGTATGCAGGGCAATGCTTTTTGAGTTCATTTCCAGCAGACCTAGGTCTGACCTGCTCTACCGCTTAGGAGCTTGGCTACTCATTAAACACCTGTAGGCTTCAGTTTTGTTTTTGCACAAGTGCAATGAGGATATGCAACCTCACCTTACAGAACTGATATGAGGATTTTAACAGTGATGTCTTGAGGGACTTAGCATAAGGTCGGCATGAACAGGTGCTTAAGGGACATACATCATGACTTTTCCAAATCACTCCTTTATGAGTTGAAACCCGTGGCCTTTATATTCCCCGTTGGTTCAGATGTACTGAATCTGAGCCTTGATACCTGAAACAAATCCATTCAAGGGGCATGGAACTATTGGGTCCAGGAATCTCCACAGGAATTTCAGAAGCTTCCCCCTAGGAGAGCACAGAGATCAACCCCAAACAGTCTGGTTTAAGCTGTAATTACAATGAACTGAGTAAAATCAAACACAGCTTACAGAGGAGATGTTGACAAGGGATCCTTGGCATTTCTCAGCATAACTAACAGGTGGGAGGTTATTGCTAAGACACTAGACATTCCCAGGACACTTCTACCTCATAGAAACCTCTTGCCCCCGAATCACTGCAGTCAGAGTCCTGGGACCTCTGTTTACACCCCAGGTGTTCGTCCACTTGTCCTTCAGCATCAGGTCCGATCGCCCTCAGCCATTTCCTTTTCCCCAGTGGCTAGAAAACCCTTGTCAAGGAAGACAAAGAGTAAGACGGCATCTCCTCTACTTGCACCTGATAGCTGTTGAACCTTCACTGCGGGCTGCACCCTTCCTCATGAAGCAATTATTTTATTTGGTGTGGTTTTTCAGCTTTTTTTTAAAGACAGCACCCTTTCCTTTGCCCCAGATCCTTACTGAGACCATTGTTTCTCACCAATTAATAACCACAAGTTTTGGGCGTTGGTATCTTCCTGATTTCCTACAGAAACAAACTCCTTTGCACGCTATTTTATGTAAAGAGCACAGTCAGTATAAGTGTAGAAAACCAGAGGGGTGAGCAGTAGGGACTCCATCCAGGCAGCTACGCACTTAATCCCACCCCCACCCCACCCCCGGAAAGAGAGGGTATTCGAAAGGTACTGTTCTTTGAGGTGTGATAGGGGTCTCTGGTCTTGCATTCTGATTTATTTTCTACTGCTTTTGTGTTCCTTCTGGTTTATTACTGGTTTGAACCTTTGAAGACTTACCTTTATGGTAGGGTGTTTTCACCTTTCTTATATGTGGATGCTTAGGTTTCTGGAATTGGGAGTGGTCACACTTTTGTTAGAATAATGCAAATGTTTGAAACATCTCTATATCCAACATATTTACTTCTTTATGGAACAGAACTATATTTCTCAGTCTTGTATATACACCAGGGGAGAAGAGGGTGGAGGATGGTAGGAAATGACATTTCAGAGTATACCTCAAACCGCCAGGTAAATGAGATGTGTTTGTTTTCCCAGATAGCCAGTGTCACCTGAATAGATGGGTACAAAGTATTATTTTCTGTTAAAACAAATATGAATAGACCATGAAGTAGGAACCAAAATTCACAAGGACTTTTAAGATACGCTAATAGCTGTTCACAGCTTTTTAATTATAGCATCCCCCAGGTCCTGAGGGTGCATATTCATCCACCTTACCTGCCCTCCAGCGTGAGCTAAAGGGAAAGTTCAGGAAGCATTTAAATAGAGTTTCCCGTTAGTGGAGAAAACAGGTCTGTTCCAGCAAGTTTATTATTTAAGCCACAAAGTTGATTTCCTTTTGTTGTTTTGTTTTCATCAACAGAGGCTAAGGGCATAACTGAAATGAATGTTGAGAAAATGCTTAATTATTTCTCTCCTTTGTTCTCATACTCGTTGTTGCCCAAATCAAATCGCATATGTTCGGCCTTCATAGCAGTACAGTTTCTGACCGAGATGTGTTATTTTTGTGATAAGTATTAAGTGGCATCGTTTGTGAATTGTCTGTAAAGAAATGGGTGAGGTAAGGAAAATCATCATTTAAGTTCCAGTTAGACTAGAAACTGTTCATAGAGGAAATGAAGAAAGCAGCAGTGACCTTGAAGGAGAATGATGTTCAAAACTTGTCGTAGTGAGGGACAGCACACCGAGATGGTGGGTAACAGAGTTTGAAAAAAAATAGCAAGAATACAATTCCATTCCTTGTAGAAAGAAGGGAGAAAAACTGACGTCTATGGGGAACCTACAGTCCCAGCTAACTTCCTACGTGTTTTATTTAATCCTCAAAACACCTTGACAAAAATATTCTCTCCATGTAGGCAAATGAGGTACTAAAAGGAGTCATAGGGCTGGCAGGACTTGGTTCTGTGTGTTTTGGTCCATGGTGGTGATGGTGTTTGCACACCCTGTGGAGTGAAGGGCACGGTGACTTGACGTGGCCTGTGTGGTTCTATAGACAGTGCTCGGAAGCTCCGCTGGCGCCCTGCTCTGGTCCTGCAGAGCACAGGCTGTGTGTACCCTTCAGCTCACATTCATTGTTGGTTTTGACTCTCCTTGTCTGGTGACCATTCCCAAAGCAGCTCATGAACCCTGTAAAGTCAGGTAACATACTTCCCATTACTTTGTCTCCACTGTGGCATTTTGAATTGTTTTAACAGATGTTTGGCAAATATCAGCTACATGATTGACCTTTTGCACCCAAGATTCTAGGATAAAAAGCTACGTGTGCACAGGCAGAGGCTTCTGAATTTGCAACTTAAGCCTTAGCTGGTAGCCCACAGATAACACGCTTTAAAGGTAAGCTCCAGCATTGCTCTCTTTCAGATAGCTCTCATTTAAAAAACAAAAATAAAAAATAAAAATATATCAGGATTAAACCAAGGCCAGGAGAATAGTCTTAATAGAATTTCCTCCTGATTTATGCTTATAAATGCCAATATCTCCACTTAAAGGAACTATAAATTATCATCTAACACATCAATGCTAAGATAAAGTGGGAAGAGGGCCCATGTCTCTTTTCCCCGACCTGCTTATGGAGTCTTCACAAGAGAATCAGGCCAATGGTGAATCTAAAATGATTTTTATGTAGAAAGCAAGATTTTGCTCTCACAATATTTTCACATTAAGAGGTCCTACCAGTTTAATTACCTTTTGATTACCCAATTCATTTGCATTTCCTCCCTGGATCCCAAGCTCCAGACTGCAAGGAAAACACACCTGACCATGAAATGGCTTTAAGTGCATGACCTTGCGAAGGACAGCGCCACCTGAGAACCTGGCCAGATGTTCCATGTTTCTGTTAACAGATTGTGTTCCCTGGAGGCCTCACCATGAGACCAGAAACAATGCAAATCGAGCTCAAGCGCTCTCCTCCTTTGGGTGGAATGCACACTGTCAAGGGCAGAGCACGCTGGGTCTGCCTGTCTGCTCTCCCACTAAGCGCATCCATTAGTTAATTATCATTCTCAACCAGGAAGACTTGTTAATCACTGGTTAACACGAAGGATGGGGAGAACGTTTAGTGAAGCTGGAGTAGGCACATTCTCCCTACATGTGGAACATTCTGACAAGTGTTTCAGTAATCACTTCTGTTTTTTGTGTTCACCCAATTTCTCATCGCAGGGGTTACCTGAACTACAAAAGGCATCAGTAGAATTTTCTGAAAATATATCTTCTGTAAGGTTTCACTTTGGGGCAGCTATTTCAGTAGCCGTACAGACTTATGCTTTGGGTTAACTGTATCATGAAATGGGTTCAGTTACTCACAGACCCCACTAGGATAAGCCAGGGCCTCCAACACTGTCACTGTGAAAGCTTTTTCTTGATAGTTGATGGTCATTACTCAGCATAGGTTACTGCCTACTCAGAAAGGTTTTGAAGGAAGCGTGTCATTTGCTTTCATATGCTGGAAGTGATTATAAAAGAAAAGCGAGCAGCTTATAGACTCTCCATCAAAAATAACGTTGCTTTTGGAAAAACTTGTCTGCTTTTGTTTCAAAAGTTAAAGGATAGTAGAAGTTTGAGATCCTTAGAAAATGTACCTAGCTCTTTGGCATCCAGAATTGTTGGCAAGACACACTGGAGGGAAATACTGAGCCCTGCGGGTGACATTTTTAGCTCTTTGAGGAACAAAACACCAGGTTATCTCCATTTTTACCTACTTACCTGGAGCTCAATACAGAGGCTAAGAGGGCTCTGATTTGTTTGTTTTATCAATATATCTGTGTTTTGCTTAACCTGTTTCTTAGTACAGCTCTCCTTTCTTTCTCTCCAGGTCACGGGTTTGGTTCCTCAAAGATGTCACGTGCACAGACCTTTCCCAGCTACGCCCCAGAGCAGAGCGAAGAGACTCAGCAGTCCTTGTCCCGGTCCAGCAGCTATGGATTCAGCTACAGCTCAAGCCTCATCCAATGACACACAGAGAACCACTGCTGACCAGAGAGACAGTCTGTCCCAGACCTGCTTGTGGGGTCATTGTGCCCTCTGCCTCCTGGAAGACCAATTGCAGTAGAAATTGAAATGGGTTGGGTCTAGCCCCAATCCCAGAGGAAGGTTCAAAACTGGAGTTCCGCTTCCTTGATTCCGTGGCTAAGTCCTTTATTTATTGAATTTCTTGGGGGGAGAGGGGATGGGGATATCTGTGTTTAACAAAAATAGAATCCAAATCATATGAACATTTAAATACAATTCTTTGGGTCTGACAGTAGCAGCAGCCCGGGCACCATGAGCATTGCCCAACAGGGTTGTACCTGGTTGGTGTCCTCAGGGCTTAGTCCTCCCGTCTGATGACAGGGCCAGTCCTTAGACATAAAGGTCACCCACCACAAGCTGTGTGGCTTGGAAGGTTTTGACAGGGACAAATCCAATAAGCTCCACAAATGGCATCATAACTTGCCATATAAATAAGCCCAGTGACAATTGAGGGAACAGGAAATTTAGAACACACGATTAAGCAAGGCCTTGTAGCTCTACGTGTGTGTGTGTGTGTGTGTGTGTGTGTGTGTGTGTGTGTGTTGTGTGTGTGTAGACAAATAGAGATATGGATTTTGCTACATGTATTATCAAATGTGTGCTGAGGGTGACAGGTCATGCTCACTTAAATCGTAGAAAACTGTCATTTGGTGCATTAAAGTTAAAGATTGTTATGTTGAATAGCTATTTTTAAGACAGTGCTGTAAAAAAAAGGCTTCTTATTAGCAAAAGTATTTATATAGTCAAGTCTGCTCCTATGACAAGTCTGAGAGTGTGAGAGGGAGGAATGCTTGGAAGCAGAAGAACCGGTCTAGCTGTCCTACGCCTCACGTCACCGCGCTGTCTTTCTGGTTAGCATTCCCTTGTTGACAGTGTCTTTCTCCTTTGGGGTATGATCACCAGCCGGCTTCCATCTCATCTCAAGAAAAAGAACTCTAAATGAGAACCTGTTTAAGAAAGTGATTAAAATACCTGTAAAAAGAACGGATCTATTTTGCAGTCAGGAGACCAACAGGCACAGGATGGTAGATGTTTGAAACCTCACACACCCTTCTCAGCAGCCATCAGGGATTCGCCTTTCACTGTATGACCAGGACTTGCTGGGCTTTCCTTCCCTTTTACTGGGTCAGGGTTGGCTGGGACTATGAGAAAATGGAGTAAATATAATTTTGTTCATCCTTCACACTAATGATGAAGGTTTAAAAGGAGCTGGTGATTTCCATGTGGACTGAGGAAATTTGGCTAATTCAGGTCAACATAGATAGTTTTGCCCTCAATTTTGGCATTCAGTTGAATGAAAATAAAGATGTTCCTGCATGATTATCTGATGCCACGTGCTTAAGATGGTCAGCTCGCAAATCCCCTAAGAGGAATAGAAATAGCAGGGAGCCCAGGCCATGTAAGATGAATACCAAATTTTTCTTTCTTAATAGCAAAATATTTTAAACTATCAAAGTTAGTCTGTTGAAAGGGTACCTGTTTTGCTGATTAGAGATAAGGTTTATTTTTCATCCCTATCCATTCCTTTCAGAGAATTACTGCAGCATTAAATTGTTCTGGGTCCCTCCTTGATCAATTCGCATTTATAGCAACCACCTAGACCCTCCGCATCCCTCAGATAAAAAATGTGAAAACCCCATCAAGATGCTAATCATAAGAGTTAATGTGGCTGTGAAAAATAATTATCCTAAGCTTTCAGGAATAAAAAGAAAATTGCTCAAATGCTCTGCACTGTGAATTTTGCTGACACATCAGAAGAGCAGGTGACTGGCTCCTGACAATGACAGAGCCTTCCCTGAAGTTCCAGCTTTCAGAGTTAGGCACCTCTAACTTCCTTCAGCACAGGGCATTTGCTTTTGAAATGCCATTAGCGGAACTCACCAGAGCAACTCCCAGCTGAGACCATTTGAGCACAGCTCCTAGTGGAGTCCCACTCGGAGCAAGACTCACTCAGTCGAGCTGTTGCTTAGAGACCACAAGGGACTTATGGGGAAAAGCCCCCAAGGGTCCTGGTTCATGTCTCAGTTTTATTAATGTGCCCGGAGCACAGACACCGAGTCCAGGGAGGTGGAATCTGCTAATTAGATGAGTTGCTCTCATGTCTACTGGGTGGGAGACATAATACCTGCATGAAGTTACTCAAAAACACCGTTTTCTTGTGATCATTCCCAGTGAGCATACCTGACAGGGTACCAGAGATCAGGCACAACCCTGGGCCAGTTCATTCTGAAAATCATGTCATAAAAAGAGTCTGTGAGATAGAAATTTCCTTCCCGTGTCTTTATCCAATCTCATCGCCATGAGAATAAGGCCATAAAATATCTCCTGGGACATTTTTGGAGATGTATTCTCTCCTCTAACTATGCTTCCAATTGTAGCTAAGTCAAAACGACTAAATGAACAGATAGGAGAATTTATATTAACCTAACATACTTGACATAAGGCAGTGCGCATTGCAATAAAAATGACAAGCTGATAAATCTTCTACAAAAACCAAAGATGAAGAGTTACTGAACCCGTCTTCTGGAACTTCATGAAATCAATTCCACTGGAGCAACTAGAGTGGTCATAGGCATGTATTCAACTCACTTGAGCTTACAGGTTTTGACTGAAGATGCCTCTACACTTCACAAGTCATTTTTTCTCCCTCCAGAAATTGTATTATATCTTTAACATACATGTGACTTTTTCATTGTGAGGGAGTGGCTTGCTCTGAACCAAAGACATCTTTTGGCTCCTTCCAAAAGTGACTCCGCTGGGACTCCTCCAGATGGGGAAGGTGAATGAAGAGGGGCACAGTTTCCATACCGGGTGGGAAGAGAGTGATGAGGACAGAACCCAACATAAGTCCTAAAGGTTCGTCTGAGAGCAGAGAAAGCCTGGGGGACATACACATTTCACAGATTATGTGAGGGGATTCATTTTTTATGTCCCCAGTTTTTTCTTCCGATAATATTAATTGTTGTACACGTGACATTATATTTAAAATGCAGAAAAGTACAAAATAACTTTAACCCAATAGCTTACTATTCTGATGGGGGCAAAAGAAAACACAACTTTTTTTTTTATTCCTTGAATGAATAGTAGGCTCTCAGAACTAATTTATTTATACAGGTTGCAAATATTTATAACTCAATAGGTTCTGGCCACTGCCACAATTTGAACTTAATGAAATAAGAAATATATATTTACTTATTTATTAGGGAAGATACTGTTTGATAGAGCATGTGAAATAAAGTGAAATGTATTTATTAAAAGTAAACCTCCCCCTTTTCACCAAGTAGTAACTAGAGTACTAGTCCTAACATCTTGTACAATTTTTCTCTGTCTTCATTGGGCAGTTATGTTTCAAAATTATTTATCACCTATAAAATTGTCAGCCAGTTATACTTTCTGTCCAATATAGAAACAGTGAACTGATAAATAACTTCACACTGTTAGCAGTTTCTATGGATCCAATTTATTGCATGTGCTATCTTTGTAGTAAATATTAAAACACATCCTGAAAATTGACGTCTGCCCCTCATTCTTTGGCCAGTATCTCAGAAAACTTTGTAAAAGAGCATGAGTATCCTATTCTCTAGATTATTTGATCCACTTCCTAAAATGGACCATTAGTGATACAGTGAAAACAAGCTAAGCCAATTATATTCTTATGAAAATATTGTAGGCCAGTTTTGATTATTATAACACAGCCCAATAAATAGGCAATACACATTCAATGGGGCTGAGCCTAAAGACCTTTAACATATCATGTTATAACAAATATTATGCTATAAACTGCTCAAAGTGAAAAGTATGCATTTTTCTCCAATTCTATTAACATATTATGTCTGTCCATATCTTGCCATTTCAAATTACTATACCAATAATTAACTATACTTTACAATCCCCAAACCTTGGTCTTCTCAAGATAGATAAAAATCTGCCTACTGGACATGCATTAATCATTACAATAATAGGTGATATGCCACACAAATGAATTTCTAGCCCGTGAAATTTATGGAGTGCAATTTCCAATGGAGAGGGTTGAGAAGGAAAATGGGAACTAGTCAGGGCAACAATTCAGATAAGATTACAAAGACTCCAGTGAACTGTCTAGTCACTAGACTCTAGTGTAACACTCAGATTTACTCTCTTAACATTCTAACCTCGGTGCCATGTCTGGGACATGGCCTTCTTTACTAGTTCCTCCGAGTACTGAGTATGCAAGACACCAGTTGTATCAGTATTGACATTACCACACGAAGACAGCCCATTACCAACAAGTGTGCTTCCTTTAGGAGAGTGAAAATTGTTTAACACCAAAGACCATGTAACAGAATCCCCTTGGTCCAATGTCTCTTCAGTAACTTGAGAGTCATTCCTGTAGAGTCAACCTCATTTGCATTTCAATGTGAAGATACGTTATCAGTGAGACAGGCTGGGGGCTGAACATGTCAGAAAAGATGCACAGCCGTGTGTGCGTTCTCTATAAATGTACCTGAAAGCTTAACCCACGTGTTCTACTACAAATCCTTCCTTTCTTATTGAAGAATGTGAATCTTTGTGGATCAGTTCTATAATTTATTACAACTAGATACGGCATTATAGTTTATAGACTCTCATGGAAGTATCATGAGATTTGGGGCACATTTTCTAGATAGGTGGAATGCTAGTTAGCTCTGGAGATGAGCGTGTAGAATAAAAGTCCTGTTTTTATGTTCCCCTCAGGAGAAAACCAAAACCCATAAATGTTGTAATTTATTCACAGGCAAGAAACAGTCAGGAATAGGGTCACCTAGCAGGCTCCTAGGAATGTTTCCTTGGCTACATCTCAACTCCCAGGGATGCGTAGTGGGAGCTGAGAAATGCCACATGGCCTATAAGTGAACAGGCCCTTGTACATGTGTTTTCCCAAATTTGTCAGATGTTTCTAACTCTTCCTGGACTCACCACCAACAATATCAATTATGGGGCAATTATTAGACCTGTAGGTCATGGATGATTGGTATAAGTATTACTATTCTTATACTATCATCCAGTTCTTTGTTGGAAATTTAGACTTACTTTTTCTAAAGTGATGGTCAAACTAAAAAAAAAAAAATTAAGTGTCTATCTTTTGTATTCCTACTAATTCATTGCATTGTCGCCGTGATTATTATTTTGGGGATTTTTATTACTCTGTAGCACTTTGATTTAATTATTTATGGCATTTGTCACAACTTTGTTAAAGAATTGATAATATCAGGGCTACACATTTTCATGCGAGTTTCAAAAAGCTTCCATTTTCAATTGAAATTTGGAGAATTGTTTTTTGTGGGTTTTTTCCTTTAAAATACCTTACACATCAAGCTTTTCCTCAAACCCTTACATAGGCAATTATTTAAATTAATTAAATTTTAGATAAATTAGAAATAATTTAAAATTACTAAATAATATGAAAGCCACTTTTTATGTGAGATTTTCATACACTTTTCTTAGTTTAAAATTTTAATATCTTGTAAACATTTTAAAGAAGGGAAAAATATACTTATAATAGGAATATGTCAACTTCCTTCTAATAATTCCACTTAATTCATTTTTATTTTGCTTCACTTTCTATGCCTGCTACCTTAGTCCATATTCCATATTCTGAACTTATTTTATTAGTTGATACAATTAACTTTCTCAATCTGATCTCTGGTGTTTTTTTTTACGATTTTAAACTTAAAGAGAACATTAAATTAACCCATTTTGTAGACACAGAATTGTGCCCCAAATGAAGCAAGGTCTCCACCCTGACCCTGCAGCTGTGCTCACCTCGGAATCTGATGGCTGTCCTTATTCACCCAAGTGACCCACAGCCTCATAAGACTTGCTTATTTTAAGGAATCCAAAATGTAAAGCCCCAAATTCAGGAAAAGAAGATTGAGATAATGGCTTAATTTTTTAAAGGTTTTCTCTCAAAGAAAACCTTGTGAAAGGGTTTTTATGTTGTTTTCAAATATCATTAACTCCTTGACAGAGGGGTTGAAAGGCAGGGAAAGATGGAGAATGAAATGATTGTAGTATCTTGTTATTCAATATAAATCAGAAATGAACATGATACGGGTCCATATGAAATCATTTGATTAATGGAATTCAGATTTACATGTCTATTGCATAATCCAAGGAACAATGCCTATCCTTATCGAAAAATATATGTCAGTGAGTGGAGTGGAGAAAAAGAAGCTCCCAATTTATGTGAAGACCTGAAATGGAGAAGAGAGATTCTTTCAAGTTCTAAGACACTGTGTTATTGTAGTGATAGCCAGCAGTGTATAAATCACAGCAACACATAAGTCTACACCCTCACAACGAATGAGTTGAAAGCCAGTATCATCTTGGCTGCAGACGACAGAATACCTCACCTAGCACCATCTTTACACAAACCCTAACACACTCATGCACACAGACACATTTTTTACTTTGACCTACTCTGTATATGCCCCTATACTTATCTTTTGGGATCCACACAGAAATATCCCATCTTGCAAAATCCTTATCCATATGAATCTTCAAAATGTATTAAATTATGTGTTGTATGTTTGTTTTTCTGTAAATTCTTTTAAATCATTTTATATATACTTTGTGAAGTCCTATACTGTATTTTATAGAGGGATATTATTTGTCCTTCATTAAATAGGATGTTTATGATCATTTTGATAAAAATAACTGTGGACACTACACCTTTGTCAAGAAACAAAATACCCATTACAAATTTGCTTCTTTTCCAAAATATATGATTTGATATACTTCCTTTTCAATAATAATTGATTCCAGATAATAGTTTGGGGACATCTGTACTTAAATACTAGCTGAGCCACCTTTTGCAATGGAATGCAAAGGAATACTGTCCCTGGAAACTAAATGTAAATTTTTTGGCAGGACAGAAAATATTATTATAATGAGGCAATAATTAAATTATTTTTAAATCTATCTGTGTGACTTTTCCCCTTGTTAAAAATAGTACATAGTTCAAGAATTATCCTCTTTTAAATTTCTAGTTTCTATATTAGTCCTCAGTAGATAAACTATTGTTATTAATGTCTTACTCAAAACCATAAGAAATTCACAAATGAGATTGCTACCAGGAGAATCATTTATAGTTGTGCAATATTAAAATTTCCTCCATAACCTAAAAAAAGGTAAAGCAGTCCAAAAATACTGCTTTCCACCACAAGTCTGCATGATTGAGATTTGAACATCAAAATTGCTGGGTCTTACCCAAGAGTTACTATTGTTAGCACTGTAATATTATATGATCTCCTTACATTTTTGTTTTCATGTGATGAACTGTAACTGTAATTAAACAGAATTCTGACAATCATATTCTTTGAACCTTTAAAATGTCACTTATTCCTTTATTTATTGGCTTGCTATTTTCAAAATAAAATAAAAGAGGCCCTTTATTAAATGGAAGATTGCTGAGAATTCATTATGTATTTCTGGTGCTTTCCTAACCCTGTGTTATGATAGGACATCATTTTTACTTGGTTGACTCTGGTTTGGTGGAATCATGGAATGTTAATATGGAAAATGACATTGGTGACCAGCACTTTTATTTCCAGTGAAGTGATATCCAGTTTTATTAAGTGGCTTTCACAACAGCACACAACTGGAAAACAGTTGTTTTTCTCCAGCACCAGGCTCACCCTTTAATTACAAAGGAAATTATTGAAGGTGAACATTTGGTAGAAAAACATTTCACATCAAGAGTGAGAAGCATGCAGTTCTGACCACACTAGCTACCAGTGACTTCCTTATTACATATTTCCATCCCTTGGCCTTGGTCACTGGCATTTAGATCGCTCAGGAAATACACTTACAGAATCCATTTCTCAAGCTTAATCTTTAAATATTATCTGGGCTGTTCTTTATGGTTTTCTAGATTAATTTATTAGTAGTATTGTTTTTTCTTTCAGAGAGTTATGCCTTTATAGAGAGCTTCCATAATATGAGAGAAATCAAAGTGAACGAGAGAGCTGGCATTAGAGATATTGAACGTCACAAGACACAGCCCAATAGTAGTGACGCTGTTATTTTTGTAATATACAAAGAAAATGAAACCAAATAATTCCCCAAAATGGCAAAACTTCCATCCTTTTTTCCAAACTAGTCAAGAACTAT